CTTGTGCCCTGGTCCCTTTTGCCCCGTACTTGCAGGGACCGTAAGTGAAGAGAAGCCCTGGTGTTTCATTGACCTCCGCAGACATGACGCAAGGGCAGAGGAATGTGGCAGGTGATGGTGACCTTTAAGTTAAGGTTGAAATAAATCAGCGTCAGTGGACCGTGGTGCCGTGGCCTCTGATGGAGAGAACAGGAGGCTCTGCCTTGGGGGAATATTACGATGTTCAGGTTTTGTTCTCTAATTTAACATGGCAGGAAGAAGTAAGGTTGAAAACTTAAATTGAAGTGGGGATCTCAATAGCTTGTTTTAAATCTTCATTTTATGATTCAGCGCTTCTAGTGTTAACTTGCAATCAGGGACAGACCGTTCCTCAGCATGGCTGGGGAAAAGGTAAGTGTTAAGTTTTCTTGCATCAAAAGCTATTTGAGCCCATGGGCTGGTGCTGCAGAGGAGGGTGACCGAGCTCAGCCCGCAGGCAGGGAGTCCTGCTGCTTATTTCAGCGGTCAGCCTGAGAGGGACGCTGCCTGCCACAGGCTTCCAGACAGTGCCTGAAGGTGGCCTTCAGGGCTGGGGCCTTCAGGGCTGAGCAAAGCGACTCTGAGGGAGGATGAATGGAAAAACTGTAACTTTGTACCTCCGAGAGCAGAAATGTCCCATTGCATTAATTGTCTCACACCCCTCCTCCTTACCCCTAGCCCGCCCGCTGCGTGCCGCCAGCGTTGTACCATGGGTTGGCTTGGTCCGCTTGAGGTTCAGTGTGGTAAAAAGGTCTGAAAACAGTGGCCCCCATGTCAATGGTGCTTTAGAGATGCTGTTTTGTACAGGATAGTCTTCTCCTTCCACATGCTTTTGCTGTGCCTCTTCCTAGAGGCGGTTTCATAAATCTCATGCTGCTTATCCTTCTCCTAGACATCTCCTTTCCCCAGGCCTTGCAGCGTCACCTGGAGCTGTGCCAGTGCCACAGCTTGCTGCAGTCTGGAGGAGATCTTCCTCCTGGGACGCCAGCCATAGTGCTCCTCAGACCTTTCCCAGAGCTCACTCGGCTCATTCACTAAGGAAGCAGAATACGGCCAAGCCGTTTTGCTCAGTTACTTTTGTTGACTCAGTTTTCTGCCAGGTTGACTAGAGAATTGAGTGGGCTCACAGAGGGTTGGATAAGCACAAGCCACTGCAAGGAACGTGATGGAAATGGGAGGCTCTGGGAATGTGCATGCTGGAGGAGGAGGAGGAGGAGGAGGAGTGCTGGCTGGACACAGTGCTCTCTCAAAAACAAAGCTGAAGTGAGCAGCTCACTGGGTAGCCCCCCCCGCCCTTTCTGGGCACAGGCTGTCCGACTGCTGAGGGCTGTCAGCATCCTCCTCCCCTCGGGTCCGACGGCAAGGCAGGAAGGATGGTAAGGTCTCAGGTGACCATCGCACCACGTGCAGGGACAGGCAGCTGACAGTGCAAAGTGGCGGCTGAAGCGTGTGTTTTAACGAAGCCTGACTTGTACCCAGCCCATCATCTCTGTCAAGCCTCTCTGGTGTAAATGAGATGACGTGGTGTTACAAACGGCAGTGCCACTTAATGAGGGGCTCCTCGCCCTCAGTCACGTGAAACGGCACAGCGTCCTCTGCTCCCGCTGCAGGGTACGAAACCAGCGCAGTGACTCAGGTCCTGCCGGGCATGCGTAGGGCGTGAGGGGGTGGCCCTGCTCCGGCCCAGTCAGTAAGGTGAGAGCCGTGGGCTGTCTGCCACGGGGGTGGGCTTGCAGGGTGCTGGCAACCCAGCGGTGTGTTCTTGCCAACAGGAGGCACTGGAAGCGTGCCAGACCCGCATCTCCAAGATGGAGCTGCAGCAGCAGCAGCAGCAAGTGGTGCAGCTGGAGGGGCTGGAGAACGCCACGGCCAGGAACCTGCTGGGGAAGTTCATCAACATCCTCCTGGCTGTCATGGCTGTCCTCCTCGTCTTCGTCTCCACTGTGGCCAACTGCGTCGTGCCCCTCATGAAGACTCGCAATAGGACGTTCAGCACTTTACTTGTAGTGGTTTTCATTGCCTTTTTGTGGAAGCACTGGGACGCCATCACCGGCTACTTGGAACGGTTCTTGTCTCCCCCCAGATGATGGCGGCAGGAACTGGCTGCGTTGCCCTCCTCCCGGCGCTCTCAGTGGGCAAGCGTGGCAAGGATTAGTCAGCAGCTACTCCGCTGAAGTTTTAAAGTGTCCGAGTGAATTTGTTTACATTTAGAATAACGTTTTTTCTCTGCGAGATGCATTGCAATAGTATTTTTTAGATCTTATTCAAGAACTCTTTTTGGCGAGAATCCTGGATAATTTTTATGTAGCATGGTTCTCTTTGGATGCAAATCTTAAGATTCTTTAAAGTGTACAAAAGAAATAAATAAAATACAGAAATTTGGAGCATACCAATGGGCACTTTAAATTGTGGCTTGAACTACTGTACTAAACCTGTCAGGAAGAAGAGCTTAAGATGAGCAAAGCTAAATCTAGTGCACAGCCTTGAATGATGGTACCACAGCAAACCTGTAACACTAAACTTTTACTGTGAAGTCTGCTCACATTCCATGTCCAAATGTGTGTGTTCAGAGTGGTTTCTTTCCTTAACAAGAAAAAAACGACAACGCGTGGATCTCTCCCAGCTCAGCATCTGGGCTCACCACTTGTGCTAACCTGACTTACGATAGCTTTGGATAAGGCTGGCTAATTTTGCTAAGCATACGGAGTGGAAGCCTCATGCCATACGCAGTAACTGCACAGTCCTGCTACAGTATTTTGAAGTAGTCCTTGAAATACTTATCTTTAAGCAGAAGCCCTTGGTCGCACTTTTAAGGTTTTTTTTATATATGTATATTCACAGATTTAAAAAAATCCAAACAGCATACTTGAAGAGTGTAATACTCAAACTCTCAGTGCTTCCTTATTGTTTCTAATAGGATTTTTTATTATAATTATTATTATTATTATTATTGGGGGTTTTTTTGGAAGGGGTTGGGAGGGTCATTACAGGTTTTTTTCCTTTTAAATAAAGAAGTGATGTTTTTAAATGAAGAAATGCGTGAATAATTGTGAGCCGTCTTGTCCTGAAACAGTTTTGAGGAGGGCAGAGAGTAGTTTCTAGTGCCAGCCTGTCTGGAGCGCAGCGCTATTCCTATGCCGTTATCTGTCCTCCTGAGCATACGGATGCAGCATCATGAAAAACATCGATCTTCTCCACTCGTTTTGGTCATGCAGGGCTTTTTTTTTCTTCCTCCACATGTGGAGGAGAGTATGTTTATATTTCTCATTTCCACGTCATCTCTCATTCCTGGCCTCAGGATAACGAATTTCTCTTCATCCCTTCCTAGGGAAAAGACAGGTTCTTTTAAGGAAAGAAATACTGCATCAACAGTCCACTTAAAAGAATGATTGTCTCAGAAATATCTCTTGATTTCATTTTTAAATAACCCCCCAAAAAGTGAAACCAAAGTTTTCCTCCTGTCAGGCTCTGGTAAGATCATTTGTGTGTCTGTGTAGAGATCTTCTTTGTACGCTCTGTCTGGGTGGCGTGCCACAGAGAGCATCCCCTTCTTCAGCCGTGGGGGCAAGGACGGGGTGCAGGTACCTTCCCAAAGCTCTAAAGGAAATGTCAGCCTCAAACGTAATGCTCGAGTCCTCGCAGCGCCTGTGGCTGGTGACCTGTCGGTACTGGCAGGCGGGCTTCGCGTCCAAGGAATCTGTGTTGGCTCTGGGCTGGTTTTTTAACTGGTACCCCTTTCACTGTAACAAAGCCAAGATTTCAACTTCCTTCTCCATGAAATCCAAAAAGACTCCAGGATTCTCTTTCAAAACCATTTGTGGTGTTTAGTTAGATCTTACTGTTTTCCTTCCTTCCAGGTTTCAGTTCCCTCTAGGAACCAAACGTTGCCCAAGTGACCTAAACCGGTCGAAACCCTGCATATACGTATATGGAACGTGTGCGCCATATGTGTATATGTATGTACATACACAAGCCTAGGACTTCATGCTGTGTTGCAAATTCTGGGTTCTGAGAGAATTCCCTCAAAGTAGGTTAACAGCCTCAAGGGTATTCTGACTGCCAGCAGCGGCAAGCCCTCCGCTGTCCAACCATCCTTCTTCAAAGATTCTATTTTTTTCCATAGTCACAGGAAACTCAGGTACCCCTCTCCCCAAGGATCCCAGTGCACCTCCCTCTGTCACCACATACACTGATCTGTCCTACACAGACATCAATTGCCAATTGCAACTGACTCAAGCCAAAAATAATTACGCTTTCTGCAGAGTTGCAGGCAGAGCAAAGATTGCCGAAACATTCCCTCCCTAGACCACGCTTCCAGCCTCAGCAAAACTCTGTTCTGTTCCCCACCCTTCTCTGGCCGATTCCAATTGCATGGGTAACGCGCATCTTCCCATTACGTTGTTTTTGTCAGAAACAAAGGTGTGAACAGCAGTAAGAACTGGTTTGGCACAAGACTGAAAAGTTTTGTGGCCTTTCTTTCTGAACCCTGGCCTTTGCACCTTTGTTTTTCTCAGTTTTGATCACACTAGAATTGCTCATTATAGGTTTTCATGTGGTCAAAGCAGGAAGGAGTTGAAAGCCAATGGCCCTGGACGCTCGGTGCCACTCGTCCGTAGTATTTGAAGGAAGTGTTTATCCCTCTTCTGCTTCGTATCCTGATCCCATTTAGTGTCTCGACTCTGTCTCGTCTTCAGTAAATACCGTTTGCTAATTTGGCAGAAGGTGCAGGCCTAACAGAAACGGATCACCTCAAAACTGTTTGAGGAAGGCCGTGTGCATATGGTTGTGGACAATGTCTGTCTGTCTGTCTCTTTCTCTCTCGACAGTTTCCTCCATTCCAGAAAGCTGTCTGCAGTAATGCCATATATGATGCTGCATCCACTTTTCATGTCCTAACACAACTGCCATGTGTTTTGCCTTTTGCATTAGCAGAGCATTTTGGGTTTTCCTCCCTCTTCAGTCGGTGATGATTTCTGGTAGCTTAACAATGACGATGTTGTTGGAAATGTGATTCTAGCTTTAAAGCTCCCTTTCCTTGTAAGTGGTTGTGTTTGCCTTCTCGATGAAGCGTTCCTGGATGACACGTAGAAGACAGTTTCCGCCGTGGATGTGAGTGTGCGTGTGAGTACCTTTTATTAGCCTTCCTGATGGATGGGAACTTCTTAGTGACCGTCTCGGTGTTGCAGAATGTTTCCCCAGAGATTGCATATTCAGAGCTGCAGCGATTCTGAAATTGCTTAGATATGTTTAGCACATATCCACTTGGCATATAAAAAGGGACGAATATAACGGACTGGGTTAGTTCAAAAAGCAGCAGCTCTTAATTGAAATTCCGTGGTTCAAAGGAAGTTCCTCTGTTTCCCACATTGGCTTTCTCAATGTAAAGACGAAAGAAAATCTTGATGCAAAAAATTTGCCATTGTAAATTTTCTGAACGTCTCTTCTCTCGGCCTCCTTAGTTTAGTTTAATGATACTGAGCATGCTCACAGCAATTATTTCATTGGTTTATGCCAATCCCATGAGTTCTTAGGCTCTGATCAGATTAAATGTTGAGTTCTGTACCTGTTGCACTGGGACAGAAAAGCACTGTCTGCCAGCTTTGAAAATATGCATTTTTTTTAATTAAAAAAGCAGCATTATAGCAAAAGAAGCCAAGCTACAAAGGGGTTCAAGATTGGATAGTTCAGCCAGTTTTTAAGTGAATTCTGAATGTGGCTAAAGAGTTAAAGCCCTGTGTGTCTGTGTTGTGTATGCCAGGTGGTGTAGTAGTAGGCAACTGACTTAGCTGTAAGTGTGTTTTAAAAGTGTAAAAAAATAAACAGAAAAACTCACTTGCACGGGTTGAAAAGTACAGAAATGACACTTGTGAACGTAACACTGTAGTTTATAGATCTTAAGCTGCTAATTGTTGAGAGAGATTTACATTTGTCTTGTCTGATTGTCACAGATTGATCTGTGACACTTTTACTGTATATAAAAAAACTTTAAATAAAGACCTCAGCTATTAACACTGGCCTAATTCGGATGTTTCCAAAGGGATGGGGGGGGGGGGGGGGGGGGGGGGGGCGGAAAAAAAAAAGGGGCATGTTAAAACTGTGCTGAGCCCTAAGACCTTAAAATTGGAGCAAGTTCTCCATGGATCCGAATATCAAACCTCACCCAGTAATCAGCCGTACCCCGCCTGGGCACGGCGAGGATCAGTTGGCTGCACTGTTCGGTCTCTGTGGGCAGAGGAGGAGGAAGAGCAGCACTGCGTTCTTCCTCACCTGTTCCCTTCCAGGCCACCCGGAGTCCGGGACAGCCTCTCCGCAGGGTCACCGCCTTTCCCGCAGAGGCCTGGCCTCTTTGCGTTGCTGCTCCCTCCCTGCCCGCAGCGCTGTCTGTAGGCTCAGCGTGGAGGTGGGTACAGCCCCGTGAGAGGACTTGCCCGGGGGGTGCTCCTGTGTTTTCCGCCCCTGTAATCTGGACTGCCCTGGCTGAGAAGGGGTGGGGGCTGGCTCTGGCTTCTTCCTCGCTGGGATTGCAGGATCAGCTCTCTGCTGAGCTGCACGTGCAAAGCACGGTGCGATTCTAACCTCCCCCGTGTTCTTCGTGTGGATCTTGTGATGGAGCAGCTCCGGGCCCCAGCTCAGCTTTGGCGAGGAGGAATCCAGCTGGTAGGACAGCATTCACTAGCAGGAAGCCCACTCCCTCTTCGCTGAGGAAAGGCGAGAGCCTGTGTGATGTTGGTTGGGCCTCTGCTCTAAACATAAGTACTTTGTCCACTGAGTTTCATAGAGGAATTTCTGAGTTCTTTAGTATTTGTACAAGCAGGTTCCTCACTGATGTGGAGAAAGTACTCGTTCCTCTTGGGTTTTGGTCATGTGGCCTCAAGAACACGGAACCAAGAAGGGAACGGCAACAGCTTGCTTTAAGGGGAAGGGACTGAGTCCATTTTCACAAAAAACTACAAGTGCTGGAAAACCAGCAAGAGATCCAGAAGCAAAAGCATCTGTTGGCGGTGATTTTTCTCCCCATAGTCTCCCCACAACCAGAATGCAAATTCCACAGATTATGGATGAAGCAAGTGCTTGGGGCTGCTTTTGCTAGAGCTGTCTGGCTCAAGATGGGACACGGGTGCTGTTGTGAAGTTCAGCGTTGCTGCGTTCTTTTGGGGCGGTCACCCGGTAGGTGCTGGTTGGACTCAGTATGGTTGTTGAACAAGATGGGGGCAGGATGACAGAGGGTGAAAGCAGTGGCTGCCTATTCCCACGTCAACAGTTTTAATCCCATCATTGCTCAGCTTTTTGGTTAGTCTGTGGGAAGTGGTTTGCTAGCTCCACCCAGGTCCTGGGGGACAAACAGGGATGTGGCAAGGCTATGGCTACGCGGGGTTGCCACAGCGGAGGCCAAGGACTGGCTGATCTTTCTCACTGGAGCAGTTGTTCTCCCAGGTCAAATCGCACCGTGTTGGTGTGTTGATAGTGGAAATTTGGCAAACGGGCAGCTCCCTACCACAAGACATCTGTCCTCAGGTTGTGTCCTAACGAGCACTAAATCCACTTGCTCCTGTAAAAGACGGTGTTGGTTTGTGGGCCTCCCCCACTGACTGGAGCTCAGCAGAAATGGGAAGGGTGCTCTGCTGCCTCGAGTTAGCATGAAACGGAACATCCCTGGCAAACCAGCTCTGCCGAGCGATTCACTCCCCAGCCAGATCCCCTCTGGGCTTAGGAGTAAGAGTCACCATGTATGTCTGCTCTGCCTCTGCGCGAGCCTTGTGCCAGCCGTGGCCCAAAGGGGCAAAACAGGGAATGCTGACACAAAACAGGGGCCGCTGCCTGGAGAGAAAAGCAGGAACAGATGGGGAGCCGTGGTGCGCTTTCAGCCTGCCTGCCCGGTGCAGGTTTGCCTGCAGCCCTGCCAGTGCACAGCTGATACTCGCAATCGAGAGCCGAAGGAGTTCAGAGGTTCCTCCGCTACGCGCACAAAAGCACTTGAGTCCCACTGGAGTTTCTTATCGATACCTGCTGTGACGGCCTTCAGGACAGCCCTGTCTCCAGTTCCACTGCTTGAAGAAAACATGCCTGACAGCAGCTGCGACACGCAGGGAGTGGGGTCCCTAGGGAGCGACCCGCGAGCCCCTCCGGCCAGCACAGCGAAGCGCGTGAGTGTGACCCCACGGTGCTGCGGGCACGCTCAGCGGGCTCGTTGCCGGCTGGGGCAGCGCTGCC